GAGCACCCTCCATTCTCCACTGGGAGAAGCAATAGCACCACCCAGCTCATATCCATAGAGGAGCATTCCTGGCAGCCAGTCTCCCCTGAGAGCCCGTTCCCCAATTACAGCCTGTCTGCTAATTCTCCCAAGCTTCCTTGTCCTGACTGTGGTTACTACTTCTGCCAAACCAGCGCTTATAGTCCAAACGGCCTCCTTTGAGATTCTGGAATAATTAGTCTCAGCTTATACCAAATATCACTTAAGAAAAAAAGTCCCAAACATTTTAAACAGAGAAAGTGATTGACCACCAGAGTTTCCTGCTTGCTGGTTGCTCTTCCTTCATCTCTCTGCCTCCTGTCCCATCCTCATAAAGATCCCTTGATCATTTCCAGGTCATCTTGATCTTCTTTCCCTCTTTCCATGCACCTGAATGAGAGCCTCCCTCCTTTCTCACCTGCCCCCAGTCTCCTCTCATGCTCCTCCCCATTTTTGACCATCCTGGTGATGTGAGTAGAGAGGCTGTGGGTGACTATTTAGGAGGAGACTTTGCTGACTGCTCTCTGTGTGGGAGGGCCCCTGGGAAGGAGAGGTAACAGTTGGAAGCCCTTGAGACCACAAACTTGTCTGAGGACATCCAAGTTCAAAGCCTGGATGGCAGACTAGGTCATTCCAACTCTGCTGCCTCCTGACACTGATGTACTGTGAGCCTGCTTCTCTATCATCCAAATGGTAAACAGAGGTCTTAACTCTATTTTTCAAGCCTGCACATCTTCTTTAAACTTTTGTCATTTGGTACTTAATATCTAAAAAGGAACAGAGTACTTTGGTCCTGGCTGTTGTCTGACTGGGTTGGACTCTTATCCTTAATCCCCACTGTTGAAAATCAGAGCCGACTCTGATCCACAGTCCCTGGTGCCAGTATGCCCCACTTTACTCCCTACGCTGAGTCTTTGGGAACAAAATTCTCACATCTCTGTTCCCCTATCCCCTCCTGGAGGACACATGGCTTCCCGGGAACAGAGAAGTGTGCCTTACAGTATCTTAACCTCTTCCTTTTCTTCTCACCATCTGAATTCATCTTTTGATCAACTCAGTATCTCAGGTGACAACTCAGGTGTGTGCTGTGACAGCTGAGGGTATCTGTCCCCTAGGACAGGCAGGGCATATGTGACAGAAATAACACCTACTACCATGGCCTCCACGCACTCTCCCACTAACAGGCTGACATTAGCAAGGGAAGCTGCTGTGGTGGCTTCTCCACAGAGGGCAAAGTACACCATCATCTGGCACTTTCCAAAAGCACTAGGATGGTTTCTGGGCAATTTAACTGAAGGATGTGGTTTCAGTTGCCTGGAATAATGCAGTAGGTGCTGGAAGGGGATCTGGCTAGCTTGTGCCCATTCAACTCCCAAGGGCCTCAGCAGACACTGTCTGAGCCTCACTAGAGACAGCTGAGGGCTCTGCTAGACCCTGATTCGAGCCGGCGGACCTGCTTCCTTCCAGTCTACACCAGCAAGCTCTGCTAAGAGGGAGGGAGGAATGGGGCCTTGCTGCTCTGTTCCTAAGCCTAATTAGCCATGCCAAGAGATGGAGTGGCTCATGGAAAGAGCCTGGGGCCAGAAGTCAGTAGTGCTGGCTACTAGTCAAAGTTGGGGTGAGCTGCCCTGCCAACATTTCCTTCTCTGAATCTCCATAATTCTTTGGGCAACGGGAGGGGCCTGACAGAGCCCTCAAAGCCATGGAAGGCTCTAGCCCTGGAGAACGCTGACCACCCATCCACCCCACTAACCACTCACCATCCGCTTCATCTCCTTCGAGACCTGGTTGCCACCCAGGTGGTTGTAGAAGGGGCGTTCAGCCCCCCAGTGTGGTGGGTTATGCCCAATGGAGTTGGTTCTCTGGCGATTCATCTTTGCGATCATGGCCTTCTCTTCTTTCTGGAGAGCAATACAGAAGCATCAGCCTGTGGGCAGGGAGCCATCGGATGAGCCCAAGTAGGTAAGGACAGGGGCAACCCCTCCCTTCTCAGACCCGAAGCCCAGTGGTCCACCAAGGTCCTGGAGTTTCTCTGAGCAAGCATCCTAAACCATTCCCCCCATTTCCTAAGCTGGTTTTGTGAAACATCAGAAGGGCTTGGGAACATCCGTCATTTGTATGGAATTCTCCCTACAAGCTTGACCACAAGATTCTGATCCCGACTTCTAGTGTCTTTCTTTCCCTGGATGGCCTCTGTTCTCAAAGGCTGCCAGCGGGAGCCAAGCCCTATACTTTCTTTCCCCAGAGGATCATCGGGAGCTGAGCTCCACCTCTGGTCTCCCCAGCAGCCAAGTTGGTCAAGCTTGAGCTTCCCCAATGGTTACCAAACTGTGGTGTCACATGAGGCTCTGCTCATGGGAACACAGGGCTCTATGTAAGGACAGGCTTCACCAACAGCAGGGACAGCTTCACCCACGACCACTTGGGAATCAGCAAAACCTGGGTCTGAAGGTGCCCAGGGTAGTGATGGAGATGCAGAGAGCTGGGAATTCCAAATTCAACTTATTTCAGTAAAAAGCGCATTAGGGGAGGCCCTGCTCCCCAAAAGGCAGCTTCCAAAGAGATTTAGGTCTTTTAAATGATGAGGTTCAAGCACAGGTAGTTGTTGTTGTTGTTAAGTGCCATCAAGTCGGTTCCGACCCATAGCGACCCTGTACAGGGTTTCCTAGGGTGTAAATCTTTACCGGAGTAGAAAGCCTCATCTTTCTCCCGTGGAGCGGCTGGTAGTTTCGAACCGCTGACCTTAAGGTTCGCAGCCCGATTCGTAACCACTACGCTACCAGAGCTCCTTAAGCACAGGTAGACATTATATAAATGTACAAACGGGGACTCAGCCAGCCACCTGCATGCCAACACAGGCCCCAGTATCCATTTCCTGTCTGTCTCTCCATCCATTCAAATGGGAGCAAGAGGTAGAGGCTGTGAAACTTGAGGCAGGCCTCCCTTCAACTCCCTCCTGGTGCAGCACTAGGAGGAAGCCCGTCAGACAGGGTGAGAGGTGTGTTTGTGTGTGTGTGTGTGTGTGTGTGTGTGTGTTGGGGAGGCTTGCTTTCTCTTTTTGTCTCCAATTCATCTTTTCTGGAGCACTGGTCAAGCTGGAGTAACCAGGATTCAGAGAGCCCAGAGAGAGGGCAATCTTGAAGTCTAGATGCTGCAGAGAGGAGTTGTATGGTGAGAAAGGGCCTGGGGGGGAGGGGAGACGGATTACAGTTCATTTACAATCCAGCAAAATAACAAAGAAATGTTTAAAAATGTGTCAAGTAACCAAAGTTTATTAGTGTTTACCAGAGTGGGGAGAAATGAGTTTCTGCTAAGGAAACTTGGAGGGATGATGATGATGTTTGTACAACATGAGGAACGTAGTCAGTGTGCTGAATTGTACATGCAAAAATTATTGACTTGGCAAGTATTTTGCTCTATCTATTTTACCACACCAAAAGACTGTGAATAAAGACGCTAAGAGTTCTTCCTAAAGCACCCTGGGGTCCTCTAGTCCTTCTTCCCTGCTGTCTGTGAAAAAGGCCTGCTGGGACAGGCCAAAGTACCCTCAGATGTCTCTCTGGGACTGGGGGATCTGTCACTAAACACCCCTGCCTCCCTTGCAAAATCTACCATTGCTGTCAGGCAATAGTCCTCTGAACTTCCCTTGCTGCTTAAGAACATATACAGTCTAACTTCTTGGGAAAGAACCGGGCAGGGTTTTTTCTAAGCAAGGGCACTGACCAACAGATAAATCCAACGGTAATATTCATGAATAAAAGACTTTTTAATTTAGGAAGACATATAAAATGTTCTCCTCATTGGATTTAAAAATTAAGAACATGGAGCATGGCAGTATTAAAAATAGAACAGCAAAGCCAGCGAATAATTCCATTTTATATGTTGGCAAGTTTGGACTGAGACAAAAGGAGAAAGAAGAAAGAGAACAGGAAGTGAGCGAGGGGGAAGAGAGGTTCAAGAAACAAAGATACACAGGAACATGCATAGATACACACTGAGTGTGGAGACAGGACAAACACCTAGCTAGTGCAGGCAAAGAAAAGGTGAGAAGGAGAGAAAATGTATGGCATGCACAACTGCCTTATGTTCCAATTCTATCTTGTGGCCTTCTGATCTATTGTGGTTAATTTCTTTTTGACTCCAGTTGCTTTTTTTTTTGCAACAGAAGCAAAATGACAATGTTTCCACTGTCATCAGTCTCTGCAAAGCCACCCTAAGTCTGGGGTCCTTCCCAAGAGACTGAAACCACAACTGCATATGGAACACACAACTTTACTCAAGAAAGGTGAAAGACAAGGCAACAGCTGCCCAAGGAAATGCTCCTCCTCCAGAGAATGCTCCTCCCCCAGAGAATGGCTCCTCCCCCAGAGAATGGCTCCAGCTCCCAACCCCCAGCCCACAGACCCGCTTCTGAGTGCAGCGCAGGATGAGGAAGGTCTCAATACTGTGCTCCTTGAGGTAGGCATTGCGCTCGCCCCCACAGCCTGGCTCCACTTCATAGTCTCCATTCAGGTAGTTGAGTGTGGCTTTGGTGATGTGGATACGTCTACAAGTGAGGAAAGAAATGGTGGGGCAGGCAGAAAGTGGAAACTCAAAACTCCAGCTCCTATGCAGAAGACAATTCCAACCTGACACTCAAACACACTCCGACTTAAACGCTAATACCAACCTCTATCCCAAGCTTAGTTTACCCTACCCTACCCAGTCCTAGAAGGAAGGTTCTGGTAGGATCCTTTCCAGTGCACATCTACTGCCCTGTCCCTGCTCAGAAGGCAGCAGTAGCTCCCACTGCTTGCGGGACTGGGGACCTGGCATCCACACCCCTCTTAACGCTTGTCTTATGGTTGATGCTGAGTGGACTCCAAATCATGGTGACCCCGTGTGTGCACAACAGAACTGCTCCATGTGGTTTTCATGCGTGTGGCCTTTCAGAAGCAGATTTCCAGGCCTCTGAGTGGGTTTGAACTGCTAACCTTTTCCTAGCATTCAAGCACTTGACTGTTTGCACCACTCGGGGACTCCTACTTCTCTCACTGGGTCAGAAAATGCCATAAGCTCTATTCCCATTCTTTGAAAATTCAAGGTTTTCAACTACCCGTGTCTCCCCTCACTGTGTCCTTCGGCCCTGAACATCCCCTCCAGCCAGCTCACATCCTACCTCCTTCATGTCCTGGCCACCCCAGAAATTAAGAGTGGTTCCTCCCTCCCTTAGAACTCTACTACACCTATGGAATAATCCCTGTAAAGGCACCCCGATGAAAGCTGAGCATATGTGCTCCCCTCCTCAACACCTGGCCTCTCCCATCACACTACCCCTCCCTCCTCCACAGTTCTTGGGGGTACGGGTAGAAAGCCAAGTCTGGGCTCTTTCCCGGCTCACTCACCCGGCCTTGCCTCCAGCCTCCATGTGGTTGGCCAGTGTGACATCATTAGACCAGACGTCGAATTGCCACTTCCTGAGACCAAGGACGCCGCAGTGCACTCGCCCACTGTGAATTCCCACACGCATGTTCACGTTCACCCCTGTCACTTCCCGGACCAACCTGGGGATGGAGTAAGGGTGAGGCTAGGACTGGGAGGCTGGGAAAGGGTCAGGGGTTAGGCATGCTGTGTGGGGTGAGGATGAAAGGTGCTGGGGTCGTTGGACGGAAGCATAGGGGTCAGGGAGGTTTATTTATTTATTTAGCATCCTGGTCCAGTTCAAATACTGAGTCTGAGACTGTTCACCTCAAAAGGATGTTTCGTGCAGCACAGGGCTGGGGGTTAATGGCAGATGGGCTGCAGGTACTTTGTCCTGGCTCTCCGTGCCCTAAACTGTGAGAAGTGCTGTTTCCTAGATTGGCCACAAGGTGGCGAGGTGCCTACACACCAAACCCAGGGCCCCACTGCTTCCAGGCAGCAGATAAACCTCTGTTTAGCCATCCTTACCTTCTATCCATTAAAATGTGCTTAGAAAATGCAAACTCACTTCAGTACAGATTTGAACAAAGTGGGGAATTTATAACCACTGGGAACCCCCTTCAGGTAATCTTGTGGGTTATCTGGCTATCAGTTATCCATACTGCTCTCTGAAATTAGCAGGATAATGGAGAATGGGGGTGAACTGAATTTCAAAAGAGGGCCTATGTCCTGCTCAGGGATGAGGGGGGAGCCCAGGCAGGTGAAGGGCCAAGGGTGCTCCATGCCCTAGAAGACAGCACCAATCCCTGCCACGTGCACCAAAGAATTGGGGGCCCCAATAGATGGGGCCATTCCTCCTTGCTTACTTACAATCCCCCGTGCTAGGGGGCAGCTGGGTGGGATGGGAAGGAAGCTATAAACCTCCAGGTATGAATCTGGGGCTCTGTAGAACCTGCCCAGTGTCTGGGGAAGAGGGTACAGGTATTTTGAGGGGTATGTATATGGTTTGTACTTTTTAGGGGGTGGGTCCAGCCAGACCTGGGGATAGGGCCACTGCACAGAACTCCTGTACCCTTCTCTGCCAGTGAGAGGCTGATGCTGCAGGGAAGATTTACCTCACCCACTGTTTCTCTTATTCTGGGTTAAATCTGCCAATACATTTACTTGAGCTGCTCCTCCCATCATAATGTCTTTGGCCACTTTCTTAGGTTGATGAAACCTCACTTGGCTTTTTTTGCTTAACACCAAAACCTCTCTCGATTCCCTCAACTAGAATCAATGGCGCCCTCCTTGGAGCTTCCACGATACTTTGTTTCTCTTACCTTGAGGGTCTACACGGCATACCTTGTACTAGGGAATAGGAATACTGGCCTCTTTTCCTAACAGACTGTGTTTCTGTGGATGGGGCCTGACCCCTGGCATGCAGTAGGCATTGGTGAAACTGTTAAACTGAATTGAACCAAACTGAATGGACCCAGCTATCTTCCTGGCCAGCTACTTTGACTTCTGACTTTTGCCCCCTCCTCAGGCTAATTATAAATTCCAAAGTCACGGAACCTGGATCCTCTCTCTGACTCACTCTGTTGGCTCACATGTAACTTTGGATTCTCCAGGGTTTTCAGGGACCAGGTCTCCTTCCATGACCAGTGGTGATCAAGACGTGGTCCGAAGATTCTATTCACTATTGCTCATAGGAGGGATGGGGTCACTTAAAATGGGGAGACCTGTGCTTGAATCCACCTAACAAGTCAGTACCATTGCCACTGTGCCAGTTCCTACTCGTGGAGACGCCACGTGTTCCAGAGTAGAACTGTTCTGTGGGCTTCTTGGCTGTAATCTTTATGACTATAGGCCTTTCTTTCATGGAGCCACTGGGTGGGTTCGAACCACCAACCTTTAGGTTAATAATCAATTGCAAACTGCTTGCACCATCTCCCTAGCAGTATTGCCCTAGGGTATTGTCCAACTTTCCTGCCTGGGAAGAAATGGGACCAGTGGGTCCTACATGCTGCTGGAGGTCCTGGCCCCATGGACACATGCCAGCTTCTCCCTGTCTCCTGACCATGAGTCGGCACAGCCTTCCCTTCCTACAGGGTGTGTTCCCCTGGAGCCCAGACACAAAGGTGCAAATCAACCCCCACACTTGGCCAAGTGACCCATGGGAGACAGCCCCATGTTTCCCCACCTCCACCAGGCCAGCCAGGCCTGGCTGGGCACTTACGAGATGGCCTCAATCATGTCCAGGCCCATCTCTACGCAGCAGTGGGCGTGGTCAGCCCTCGCTTCAGGCAGCCCAGAGACGCAGTAATAACAATCCCCCAGGATCTTAATACGTAAACAGTGATTCTCCTGGAAAGCAAATTCATTTTAAAAATTAAAAATAGTAGGAAAGAGGAGTGGGAGGGGAAGAAGCAGGAAGCAATCAGATTCACCCCATGCCTGGAATAACTTGCTTTTTAGGGTATGGAGCACAGACCCAGTGCCCAACACTAAGTCTGATAGACGCTTGGCTGACTTATCAGGGGGTGTGGGGGAGGGAGGGGTGGCAGGTGAGAGACGCATCCCAGCCTCCCCAGGCTCAGAGACATACTGTGAATGAGTCACTGCTCTGACTGGGGAGAAATGGAAGCAGGAAGAATGGATCCAGTGAGGTTCAACAATGGGCGACTTGTCAGCTGAAGAAAGCCCATACCCGCCCCTCAATTCCACTACAAGTCCCTTGAAGTACACTGCCCTTGGCCTAAGGTTCCAAGAACAGTTTTCTCTCTTTTATTCATTTTTCTTTTTACCCAAACACTGAGGCAGACCTGAGCTTTACCACAAGCTCGCCTGGCTCTTAGCATTAGGCCTGCCGGTGATTTTAAGCCCAAAACAGCTTCACCAAGCCAACAAGCATCTGGATGTGAGCAGACCAGCAGAGCTAGCTTTGCTACCTGGGTAGTGGGTGCAGCAGTGCTACCCTGGCAGGCCGAGACCCTATCCGTAATTGGGAGTGAGAAGGGACAAAATTAATCATCATTTGTGACTGTTCAAATCTGGCTCCCAGAAATGACTTCACAAAGCTAGGGCACTGGGGCTCAAGTGCCCACTGGACATGGACTCTCATATGATGTCTACTGTCAAGTATGTAAGGAGCTCTGGTAGCGTAGTGGTTATGAATCGGGCTGCAAACCTCAAGGTCAGCACTTAGAAAATACCAGCCGCTCTGTGGGAGAAAGATGAGGCTTTCTGCTCCCGTAAAGATTCACAGCCTCGGAAACCCTATACAGGGTCGCTATGGGTTGGAACCCACTTGACGGCACTTAACAACAACAACAACATCAAGTATGTACCCACTCACCTCATCTGTGCTTAGTAATAATAACAGTTAGTGAGCCCACCATCTGGTGCCCTCAGTGACCCGGCACTGACCTGCATCTTGTCAACCATCAGACCCAGTGTCCTGTGAGGGCAAAGGGGAACCTGCTCACACCTGGTAGAAACTGCAACAAATGGCACCTTGCTTATACTGACTCTGCAGGGCGGAGAGGGAGGGGAAGGATGACCACGGGTGAATGTGCTGCTACTGATTGGTCCCACAGCTGAAGAGTCTTCTGTTTGGAAGCCTCAGCTGGTAGCACACGAATGGGGATCACTCACTGTTGTTACTCGGTGCCAACCTCATCAGCAAATGTGCTCTCTGACACCTAACCCTTCCCCCAGCCAAACAGAAATGACTCTGGGGGACTTGACGGCATCGCCTGCACCCCTCATCCCCGCCCCACGATTCTGCTGATGTGAGGTGTGGGAGGCTCACCCGCTCTCCCACATGACCAGGGACCCCGGATGAAAGCGTCTCCAACTGAGTATGCTTCTGGGGCCGCCAGGGACCCACACAGTCACACCTGGGAGTCCCCACTCCCTGCTCTCTGTAGGGCACACCTGGTGGAGTGTCCATCCCAGGCACTCAGTGTGTTCTTGACCACAGTGCCTGCCCTCCAGCCACCCAGAGCAGGCCACTCTCTTTACGCTTCGGCACACGGGTGCCCAATGACAGTGGGCAGGTGACTCACCGCAGCCAGCTTGTCGAAGCGGGCGAACAGCTCGTTGAGGGTCATGACCAATTCCTGCGCGGTGCACTGGGAGGCCAGGCTGGTGAAGCCCTCGATGTCAGCAAATAGGATGCTGAGGGAGACAGGAGGAGAGGAGAACCCTGTGAGGCCCAGCAAGAATCATGGGGGTGCCCCAAATGGGTGTTGGGCAGGGACACAGAGACCTTGCACTGGAGAAGTGAAGACACTGGTCCCTCTCTCTGGTGGCATCCACTCACCCTTACCCTCACCCAAGAGGAAAGCAGGGAGAAGGGGGATGAGGCTTGGGAGTGTGTCTGGAACTCAGACTCCCCAGTTTGGAATTGCTGCTCAGGCCTGCCTCAGTGTGACCTGTAAGCAGTCCTCTCTAGGCGAGGGGCCTTTTCTCATCTACTCAGGCCATAATGGCGGCCAACACAGATTTACTGCCCAGCCTCATACACAGGGGTGTTTGAGTCAAGCCTTCCATCCTAAGAGTCCTCTAGAAGGGGCAGACTAGAAGAAGCCAGGGAGGAGAGAAGGGGAGACAAGACAGTCAGCGTCTCTAGAAGCCACCCCCCTAACACATCCCTGTCAGCTCTTGCAGCCTCCCTGACTGAATGCCCCAGCTAGCCTCAGTGTTGTAAATTAAGGATCATTGACCCATTCCTGTGGCTCATTATCCCTAGATTGAAAACATCTTCCTATATCTTCTGTGAGACTACCTCAGGTAAGGCCCGGAGCCAGAATGTGTGAGGTCTCTAGAATCTTCTTTAAAATGGGCATAAAAATGTAGCAACTCTCCTGAACTCTCCTGGTGATACTGAGCAGAGAACTTTCCACCTGCTTTCCAAACTTTCCAAACAGTCCAGGAGGGGAGCTGGCTTCCCCACTGGCTAAGTGAGGAGGCTGGGTCTTTGAGAAGCTAGCTGGAGACCACAGAGCGAGGGAGATGCATGGTTGGGGGTTTCCTCTAAGGCCTGGGCTCTTTCCATTCTACTCCAGGGATTCCTTAGACTCCAGAACAACAGCCTCATTATTTAAACAAAGGATGGAAAATTGAGCATGCTTAGTTATTTTATTCTGAAAATGTGTGTCAGGCATGGCTCGCAACAAATACTACAAGAGTCACCCATGGTATTTAATTATTAATTTTCACTTAAGCCTCACAACCACTCCAATAGGTTACTGTCCTCATCTTACAGGTAAGAAAAATGAGGCACAGAAAGGTTGAACCACCTGCCCAAGACCACACAGCAACCTGGCTCCCGAACCCAGGATTTGAACCACAAAAACAACGCTGTCTCTAATGGCTCTATATTCATCTTACATGAATCAAAGCACAAATTAGTGCTCTGGCATTGCATATTGGATTATTGTTCTTTTTAAGTGCCATTGACCCACAGTGACCCTGTATAGGGTTTCCGAGGAGCGGCTGGTAAACTTGAACCACTGACCTTGTGGTTCAAACCAACTTTGCAGTGCAGTATACTAATCCACAGCACCACTGTGCCATTAGATTAGCTCCAACTCCTGCAGACTCCATGAACAACAGAACACAAAATTACCTGGTCCTGGCCATTTTCAGAATAGCTGGTATGCTAGAGTCCATTGTGTGGCTACTGTGAATTTTTAGTACTCATCTTTCAGTACTACAGCAGACAGTCTTCTGCTGCAAGCCAGAGAGTTGCCATTGGCTAAGTTTTGGAAGTACATTGCCAGGCGTTTCTTCCTTGTCTGTGTTAGACTGCAAGCTCTGTTAAACCCTATCCACCATGAGTAACCCTTCTGGTATTTGAAATACCAGTGACATCACTTCCAACATAGTAGGGGAGATAAGAGGGGGCCCATGAGGTGGGTTTGTGCTGGCTGCTGCCGCCCCTTCATTTGGGGTGAGTTCAAGACTCCAAAAAGAGTGGATGCTCCGGGCAGCTGCTCCCAGCTCATTCAAGACAAACCACAGAGAGGAAATGGAAACAGGCTGAGCCCCCAGGGAGTGTGTCCCTGGACTCTGGCCAGACAGTTCCACCTCCCAAGAAAAGTACAAGAAAGACAGCAGCCCCCCAGGCTCGGAGCCAGATGCTGTTTCCCACATCCTGGCTCCTCCAGCGTGGATCAGCAAAAGCCGGTGCAAGAGGAAGGTCCAAGTGAGTGGGAGAGAGGAGGAGATGTGAAGAGAGACGAAACAAATGAGGGGAAGGGGAGAGAAGCTAAGGAGGAGAGACAGAGGGCAGGCAGTGAGACTAACCACTAACCGTGTTAGTTAAGTCCCAGGGTTCAGGAGTCAGCAGCAGACAAGTGGCTCTAGAGTAAGGGGGGAGTTCAGAAGATGAAGGGGAGTGCTGTGACGTCCAAGGTCCAACATTGCAGACAGACTCACCACCCAAGTACAGAGGGTAGATATGGGCTGTTTGAAGCACTGGTGAAGGAATGCTGTGATGCCCCAGAGGCTGATCCCAGCTCCCTCATCTAAGTAGAGACCCCCATCCTGGCCCACTTTCACCTCACTGCCTCTCAGGTGGCTACCCCACTCCACCCAGGGAGGACGAGACAAGCACCATCATGTTGTTGTTCTTTCATCCTTGGGAATCAAAACCAAGAGAGTTTGGGGTCAGCATCCACTACACGTGAGTTGAGAAACACATTCAGTGGTTGTCCTCTTGGCTAACATCAGTATTTCAGACACACAGCTGGCAGACACCATGCCCAATGGCGTTCTACCCCAGGTCCCAGGACAGGCAGCAAAATCCTGACTATGGGAACTGGTGAGATCCCCATGGTAAGATAGAAAAGGTTCCCTAACCTGGCAGAGGTGGGGTCAGGCAGAGCAACCCACCACCCCAAGGAGGGAAATGAAGTGAGGAGGAAAAGAATGGTCACCACCAGAAGGCCTGGGGTACAAAGCCTCACATCACTGGTCTCCTGGTCCTGCCCAGCTTACCCGCTACTCAAAAGAGCAGGCCTTGGGGTGTCCATGTATCATGAGATGGACAGGTCTGTGCTCAGCTCTTCTTGTCCACAGATGACATCCCTAGGGCTTGCTGTTGTTGTTAGGTGTTGTCGAGTCAATTCCGACTCATAGCAACCCTGTGTAGGGTTTCCAAGGCTTTAAATCTTTGTGGGAGCAGAAAGCCTCAGAGCACTTTTCTTGGTTGACACTAGACCAGTGTTCATAAGCCAGATGTCCCTGGGAGCTTTTATATAGATGGGTCCCAGAGGCAGTTTAAACTGGCCTAGGGTAGGGACCTCAAATGACTGCTTTTGTTCTGTTTTGTTTTCTTTTCAATTTCCTGGCTGATTCTAATACGCAGCCAGGGATGAGAACCACTGTAGCTAACTAACTAACCCACTCTCCTCAAGTCGATTCTGACTCATAGCGACCCTGTATATGGTTTCCAAGGCTGTAAATCTTTACAGGATCAGAAAGCCTCCTCTTTCTTCCAGAGAGCAACTGTTGGGTTTGAACTGCAGAAGCCACGGTTAGCAGTCCAGTGTTTATCCTATAGCACCACAATATCACCCTCTCAAAGAAACTTAAGTTCCCCATTTAAATTTGCAACCCCTCCCAAGTGCTTGTCTCCTTTCCCTGTTATATTTTTCTTCATTACCCTTTTCACCATTTAATTTGCTGTCTATTTGTTGTTGTTGTTGTTGTTATGTGCCATGGAGTCGGTTCCCACTCACAGCGACCCTGCACAGGGTTTCCGAGGCTGTAAATCTTTACGGGAACAGAAAGCCTCATCTTTCTTCAGCAGAACTGCTTGTAGTTTCAAACTGCTGACCTTGAGGTTGGTAGCCCGACTCGTAACCACTACGCCTATTATTCACCATTTAATTTCCTATTTATCATTAGTGTTATTTATTATGCTCTTGTCTATCTCCTCTCACTAGAATGTAAACTCCCTGAGAGATACTTCTGTCTGATTCTTTGCAGCGCCTCAGCTCCTGGCCCATACAATATGAGCTCAATAGATTTGGGGGTGAATAACTGATTGCATAAATGAATGAATGAATGAATGAATGAGTGGGGCAGGCCATGCTCCTGCTGTATCTCCCCTGAGTGCTTTCAGCACACTGCCCAGGGTACAGCAGGGGACAGACAAGTATTTGGTAAGTACATGAGGAATGTGTATGATTTTATAAGAGGTAAGACGAATAACTCCAGATTCTGAGTTCTTCCTTCTACCCAATGGGGCATCTTAGGGTTCCCAGCATGTCAAGCTGGTGGGTTCCCTGCAGATGTTCCAGCGGTGTTCACAGAAGGCATGGTTACCAGGACCACCAGCAGCTTACTGGCTCTATGCTAGGGGGCATGGAAACCATGGGCCTCGAGGTGCTTTGCAAACTGGCCCCTCACTCCAATCTCTCAGGAATCTTCTGCTCCCACCAGAGCCTCTCACCTGCTGCTGAGGAATCAGGGAGGGAGAGGTGTTAGGTAGGGTTCCCTTCTTTCAGAAGGACATCCTTCAAAGCAGGGCTCCTCAGCCGGTAGTGGGGGCTCTGAGCCCTGAACGCTATACAGACTCCTTGTGACATTTATGGGAACTCGGCTGCCTCCACATTTCTCCACCCTCTTGTCATGTCTCTGTCACTTTGAGGGAGGATCTATTTAGTGACTTAACCACCTCAGGAGGCTCCTCCACTTTACAAGTTTACTCAGTGGTAGATTGTCTGTTCTGCTGGCCAACTTTCCCCCATCGGCTCCCAGGTCTTCTGAAGGCCATTTTACAATCCAGCCTGGGCCCAGGCGTGCAGTACGGTACTAATTCATAGATGAGCTTACACTCGAGAACTAACTAACCTTGACAACACGGTGGGCCCTCATAGAAGCTGGGGTGGGACCCATTCCAGCTGTGCTCTCCTCCTTAATTGCCCGTCAGTCACACTGGTCTGCCTTCCAGTTCAGAGGCAAGAGCAAGACAGCACTTTATCCCAATCCTGACCACGGGCCCTTCAGCCTCTCCGTGCTGCTTCTGTTCCACTTTATCCCATGGATTTTTTCACTAAGTGATTTCCTCGCTGTTTTCTCTCTCACTGCCAACAGGCCTTGTAGCTTTACAAAGTTGTCAGCATGGCCCATGCCTATGACCAGAGGCCCAGTTGGAGGAGCCATGC